TTAATGACAATTTTCCCCTTATTAAAATTGAAGAAGATGAGTATCAACATACTTTTCAGATGATTAATATTATATTATTTTTAAACTTAATTAAGTAGGTGAAAAGTTATTAAGTGAGAAAAATATGCTTAATATAAATAATGTTAAGAATAATTTTAAAAAATATTTTAAATTATTGACAAATTTAAGTTTATTAACTATATTAACAAATTTTCTTAAAATGAATAAATTTGTTGAAAGTCCTATATATAGGGATGAAAATAATGTTTTTGTTTCTCCCTTCTCATAAGATTTTTTTTAATTGTCTCTTGCATTATTTATTTTAAAAAAATAATTTTAATTAATAAACAATATTTTAGAGAAAAAAATAATAATCTTATAAGTTAAGAGTTAAACTCTTTTTCTGTTTCATTAGGATCGGAGAAACTACGAAAAAAATATTATTTTGAAATATTAATTAATTAGATAAGAAATAATTGGGTGAAAAGTGAAAAAATGAATAACTAAAAAAAACGTTAGAAAAAACGTTAAAGATAATTCTAAAAGAAAATAGTTGAAATTGTTGATAAATTAGTGTGTATATGTACTTGTACATTACATGTCGATATATGCATATCATATATAATGACGGATAATACAATATTGATAATATTTTATAATATTTTTATTAAAAATATAATAATTTTAAAAAATATATATATTTTTGTGATAAAAAATTGATATACTTATTTTTTTATAAATTAAAATTTTCTCATAAATTGAGTAACGATTTGTTTTCTTTTTCTGTCTGATATTATATTTAAGTGTGACTTTGTAAGTTTTAGTGACTTATTTAATATTAGAGGAACAAAATGGTATAAATTATTAAGATAAAAATAATATAATTATTATTTGTTTTCTTTTGTATTTCTTCTAAATTTCTATGTTCATTTAAAACAAAAATATTTTATGAGAACAATGCTTATATTTTTTATAATAATAAATTTATTTTTTATTAAATATTTAAGTAAAAAGTAAATAAAACCTTGTGTGACAATGACTCTCGTTTCTCTTAATTTGGATCATCTCTTACTAACACACAATGTAAATAAACAAGATTAAAAAGGTTAAAAACTAAAATAAAAATTGAAAAACAACCTATATTTATAATCTAAATTATGACAGTTTTAATGAATAAATATGTAATAAATCTTTTAGTTAAAAAATAAAGTATATTATAATAATAATAAGATTAAGACAACTTTATCATAAAGTGAAAGAAATTACACAATTGAATTAAATATAAATAAATATTAATATATTTTAACATATAAGATATAAAAATAATCATTATAAAAAAATGTTATATATAATTACATACAAAAAGTGTTATTCTAGTCTAGATTTACACTTATTTTAATGATTTATCAACATATATCGTATCTATAATATTTATAAAAATAATTTTTAGTAATAAATATCTTGTTTCTATAAAATGTGTGTCACTACTTAACAATTTTTTAATAAATTAAAATAT